TGTTTTTTTAGCTACAGCTGTCTACCCTCTCGTGTAGTATCCAGGTTTCATTCCTGGAAAATGCTCACCTTTTTGTAGATACTGTACAGCACACATTTAATCCTATGCTACAAAGCTTGTTGTGTTAGAATCCAAATAATTTCTCTTAAGGCAGTGACATCTTGCCTTTCTTCCACACAGGTATTTCAGCCCTTCTGGGAAACAGTTAAAAGAGTTTTAGTGCACAGCACATACAGAGTTCACAGATTCCTATCATTAAGCATGTGCCCTTGGGAATGGATGTTCTACATTTGACTGTCTGGGCAATCTCTTCATCTGTGCTTTTCTTTACACTCTAGACAGCTTGCTGTTAAATATGTTTTTAAATATAATGACTTGCTGTTAAATAGGTTTTTAAATACAATGTACAGTATATTACTGATCTAGGCAAGATTCTGCTTCATATTTAATAAACCAGTGTCTGTATTTTACAATGTCTGCCTGCAGAACAGGCTGAATTGCCTAGCACACACATGACAAAGCCTGCCTTTTCATTACATCACTGTTTTGCTGCTATTCTAACCTCCATTCCTTTTTCCCCAAGTAACTTCACCTTCTTTTTTTTCAGACTGTTAGACATTTCTTTCCTGAATTTAGATTGTTTATACTTTTTAAAGGCTTCAAAGTCTTTGCAGGGATATAGTCACATCTTATCAAAGAGGTCCAGCCTCTGAGAGGTTGTTTTCTTCCACTGTATCCCACAGCTCAGATCTTTACACTTTTTGCATTCACAATTCCATATTGTCTCTGACAGAAGTTCAATAAAATTGTCTTTCTACCCACAATATCAGGGTTCTCAGCATTGTTGGAACTGAGTGTTATAGACCCACAGTCTCTCTATGCTGAGAAACCTGAACTCCCCTGTCTGCCTTATTATACAGCAAGGCTCTGGCAAAAGGTAGCACTACATGTCTTGTAAATTGATGCATTGCTTCTACTGTTTTCAGCCAATTAATTTATGTCATAATTCCTGAATGTTTCCTTTTTTCGCAGAGTCAGATGGTCAGATATTAAAAAGGGCGCCCATTAGTGTTACTGATGCTCCCTTTGGTATTGACTCTCTTGCTATAGATCTTTTTAAAGTGGGTTACTTCACTACATTTTTTTCTTTATTCCTACATGTTATTACATAAAGTCTTCCTTGTTTTGGGCTCTTCTTTCCAAGAATTTAGCTTTAACTTCATGTCAAAGTTATCACACAGTGTTAAAATGCACACCCTGGCTTTCCACAGCACTAAACAGAAGATGCAGACTGTTCAGAGACTTCCCTTTAATCTTTTGCTCCTAACCTCATACAAGGTCACTACATACAACAGATACAACTTGACAATGAGAAAGGCAAACTGATATTTACATGCATTGATGATGCAGCAGTAGATAGAGCCCATGTATTTGCTGAAGACATGACCAGAAATTTGATCCTACCTACTCAACACGAGCCCCATCCTGCATGCTTCCAGGATACCTTCCATTATATTCAAATAATTTTTTAATGAATGGAAATTTTGTCTCTGTATGGAATGACTGAACTCAGTGACCTACAGGGTAATTAACAATTCTAATATGTTATTTTCATTTTAATTCTTCTTTTGTTCTCTAGACTTGAACACTGTTATTTTAATCTTTTGCTGCCCTTTTCTCCACTCATTGCTATATTTACCATTTAGCATATTTTTTTCTTTTTTTTTGGTTTTACATTGGAGACAAGCTGAGATGAACAGAGAAAAGGAATGAGCAATAGTGAAAGACTGAGACAGTATCATAGACTGAGAGGGATTTGCACATTAGGACTCAAACTCTATAGTGACATTGCTAAGAGTCAGTCTATGGTCTTGTTTCCCACTCTTCAGTTACCTATGGTGGGACTATTTTAGTGAGTTTGTTTCAGTTTTACTACCCTCATGCATTATTCTGGGGTAATTTCTTGCTGTGTGTGATGTATCAGTCTCATACAGACTACGTTAATCTCTAGGAAATCTACGTGGTATGAAGCTCAATTTTGTAGTTGACACAAGAATAATTTCAAGGTAATACACACATGATGAAATAACTCCACCACTTCCTGAAAAAAAGGCTATACCCCACCAAGAATAGACTCGAGCAACCATCTGATACATCAGTAAGCAAAACTGAACGTGTGATGGCCCACCTGACTCACAGGTCTCTACTGAAGTTGTAAGACTAATAGTGTAAGAAAAGATTTATTTGGCCTAGTTCTATTCGAGTATAATCAGAACAGTATCCTATCCATGAAAATACAAATGATCCCTGCTTCCTTGCTGCAATAGTGGACTTATTCCTGACATGTATCAGCATAAACTCACGTATGTTACTCAGGAAGAATTATTAAGAAAAAAACCCACCATTCAGCTCTGCTATCTATAATAAGCTTGTATTTGTCCAATGGTTTTATGGCTAAACAAAAAGTTAATGATAAACAACCTTTCTAAACAGCTGGGTACACTATGTGCTGGGTGTGACATCCATTTTTAGTAAATAATGGTTTGGGAGGTAAAATGTTTGGATGAGAAAATGAATATACTATTTCACTGTTAACAAGTACTGCTGCAATGAAGAGGAAATGCCAAATCACTTAAAATTGTGGTTTAAGTGTACTAAGGTGACTATTTTCGTTTTTTTTTTAAATAGTTTCACTTGAATTGTATCAACTCTTTAGGCTTAAGGATAAGTTCTGAAGAGTTATGCTTTATACAATGTTTTTTAGACATAATTGCAAAAACATTATTGGCTGTTCTGCATTAAGTAGAATACTGCAGAAACACTTAGCTACAATCTAGCTTTTCATGCATCCTGGAGAAGATAGGAGAAGGGCAGCACCCTCAAATGCTGCACACCCATGATAAGATACAGGGAGGAATGTTTGGAAACCTAGAACATTTCCTTTGAAATCAGCCCCTCTCTCTCCCTGTTTTATTTTGCAGTTCCCTCCCCTCATTTGTGTCTTTGGACAACTCCTTGGCTGTTCCCAAATTCCTGCATCCCAAGTGAGTTTTCTAACAATAATTCATAATGGACGTCTCTTCTGTCACGCACTCACACGTCTTGCTATCCCATACTCCAAGAAATCTGGCTCTTGCTTGCTCTGCAAATTGCTTCAGAGACCTGTTCAATCTAAATTTTCGTTGGTTTACACATGCAGAGAAGGAAACTGAATGTGAAGACAATAAATCTTCATATCTTTTCTCCTCAGACTTTAAAGATCAGGTATCTTCTACCCTAGAGATACAACAGAATCATATCCTGGTGACTAACCCAGACCGTGTGTTTGCACGGTGTTTTTCCATTTACTAAATCTAAAAAAGAAAAAATATAGTAAAGAAGGTTCTCCAATATTTATATTACGCAGTGAAAGTGTTCCTTATAGCATTAAATGATAGCTTTGCATGCAATCCACACACATTATCTGAAAGCTTATATACCTGTTATATATATAAACCTAATGCAGACAGCCATAATAGTTTGTATGAATAGGCAACACTGTGCTTACTGAACCACAGTCATGAAACTAAAAATGAAATTATATTTCCTCCATCATAATACCAAAGTCAGTATATAACACTCTGAAAGAACAAGCACACAGTAATACTTAGGTTAATACTAGGTACCATACATTACTGCTCAATGCTATCAGAAAGCTGCATCTTCAGATTATTTATTGAAATATACTGTATTACTTAAATTGTCATGACAAAGACAAAACTGTCCAATTTCAGATTTTTCTAGCACCTCAGTTTTTATGAACTTGCAGGGTTTTTTTTTCTAACAGGAGTATAATTTATTAGCTGATTAAATTCCAATAAAGGGAGCTGTTCAGTTCTGTTTTTTTAAAACACATTTAGGCGTGTAAGCTCTAAGCATTGACAGGTGCATTCTCCTTTGTTCCACTCACATCCTGGACTAAAGATGGGGATTTGACTGTTTTGTTTATCCAACTATTTCATCATAAACAACTGTGTTAAGTAATGCTCAGCATAACTAATGCCTGGATGTAATATTAAACTCTGCATGCTTCAATACAGGTGAAAGTTATATGAACCTTTGTAAAAGCACAAGGGTACCTCATCTGCTCCTTAATTTTTGTATTTTTTCCCCCAAACCATCGTTGTTAACTAGCAATTTGCATAAGCTAAAGCCAGCTCTCCATTACTCATAGGTGGGTTATCTGGAGGATGCATTAACTAGAAACATTCAGCAGGGTCTCATAGAGACTGTAGCTGTAAAGACCATTTGACTCTTGAGCTTGCATCAGACTGAGGTTTCACCTGTGTCCACATCAGCCCTTAAGTCATTCCTGATGGATGGAATAAACGATGATCTTAAGGTCCAAACCATTTTATGATTTTCACAGCTCTTTTAGGACACAATTTCATGAAACCATAGGTCAGATTGGGAAATCATACGGTAGATTTTGTATCTGTGTGGTAAGTCGTGAGTTACCAGAGCTCCGGCCTTAAGCCCTGTCCCCCAGGTGGGCCTAAGTTCAGCTTCTCAGCTGTGGCCTTAACTAACAGGTTTTACCTGTGGATAAAGAACGAACAGAGGCATTTTGTGGAGTTCAGATTAAAGTTCCTACAAAGTTAGCTGGATCCCAGCAGGCCTTATTAGGGCTTATTAGCTTGGGTTAATTTAACGTTTCCTATTAAATAAAAAAAAGGGCTTTTAGTCATGAAAAACAAAAGGGAAGAAAGTGAGAAAGCAAACTAGCCAGAGCAGTGCCTCCAGCAGTTCAAGGCTTTCACCTCACACTACCCATCCTCTCCGCACATCGCTGTCCACTGCTGTGCCCGCACCCAGATGCGCTCAGCGCGGTTACCCCCAAATCCTTCCCTCGCACCGGCTCGTCCACACACCCTGCCCCAGGATGCCCTCACGGGACCCCATCGCCGACCTCCCCGAGACCCACGCCCGGCCCCTCTCGTCCCTTGCGGCGGGCTGGGCGCCTCGAGGCCCCGCCGAGCTTCCGCCCGGAGAGCGGGGCAGGGCGGAGACAGCGGCCGCCGGGAGAGCACGCGGCGCGGCTAAGATGGCGGCTCCGCTGGCTGGGCAGGCGGGGGCTGTGCTGCGGGACCTGGCCCTGAGATCCGCCCGCCTGCGGGGCAGCTTCCCGGTGAGTGAGCCCGGCCCCGGCCGCCGCATCCCGCCGGCCCTGTTCCTGGCCCAGGTGCCGAGGGAGGGCGGTGGGAGAGCAGCTGGAGCGCTGGGAAGTCTTTGAGAAGCCACCCAGCTCCTCGGCCGCTCAGCCGCTGCTTTCCGCCCCCCCGAAGCCGCTCTTCCCCCGCTGCCGGTGGGGATCCCCCTACTCGCAGCCTCCCCTTGTGCGCGGCTCGCAGGGGGAGGAAGCCCTTTCGCTTGTCCGGCTTGGAGCTCGGGCTGTTGTGCGGGTGTATTGCCTGGAGGATGCGCTGAGCCCGGAGCCGCGCTGTGCGCTTGCCGGCGGAGATAACCGGACCGGGCGGCCCCCAGCCGATCGCGCCTGGCGCCCGGCGGGTCGGGGCAGAGGCGGTGCCAGGTCTGGCCAAAGCGTGACCTGAAGCGCCAGCTCTGAAAGCCTCCCTGCCCGTGAAACCGAGAGCACGTTTGCTTATTGCAGCAGCAGAAATAGGGGATGCCGCGTGTGATCTAATAGCGTTCAGTTAACCACGTTCCGGGTGGCAGCACTGTGGAGGTGGCTGAGGTCAGGCTGGAGTGTTGGACCACAGGTTTGCTCACCCAGAAAGGCCAGACATCACTCTTCCCGGTGGTCTTGAATCTCAGAAGTCTGATGGGAAAGAGTAAATGGGCCTTCTTGAAGGGCTAATGCTTAGGCTGGCTCCCATGGTATGGTATAGCAGTTCTTTATTCACCTCAACAGCAGATAAGCTGTGGTAAAATGAGATATGGACATTTTAGCTCTAGTGCCTTTGGCAACCAGCCTCTTTATATTGTCTTTTTATCAGATCAGCAGCTGCAGGAGAATCTGCTTGCCTTAATGCTTCTAAGCATAAGTATTTTCCCAGAAGCAAAAGCCTCTGGAGCAAACAAGGCACGTTTCCCGCTGGTTCTGCTCTGCAGGCAGTGCTGCCGGTGTGTGGCTGCATGGGACGGCTGTTGGATAAAGCCTGGTCTTGCTGCTGAGCATAACTTGCGCTGTGCATCTGCTTCGGTGTGCTAAACCTGGAGGATGTTAGCTAGCTCGGTTTTAAACCAAATATTTTGTGCCCAACTTTTTTAATGGTGAGAATGGTATTTGGCAGTTTGGTGCAATTGATTAGTTCATTTAGTGCATGTCAGTTTAATATACACACAGAGGGAGAGTGTGTATATTTATGTGTATATCCCTACACATAAATGTGCATATACATACATTTGTTTGTATGCATACATACTTAACTCTGTTTATGATGATAAGCAAGCCTATCAGGCCCAACAGTGTTTGGTGCATAGACATTACATGGGTGAAGGTGCATTCCTGCCGTCGTGGTTTAAGTGACACCGATCCTACAAGAGTGAATTCAGAAGTAACCTGCCTGGACTTGGATGTGTCCCTGCTGTTCTTGTAGGGCTCTAATGTGGGGGGGGGTTTGTATGGCTTGAGTGTGGAGCGCTGTCTGGGCAGTCATCTCGGAGTGAAGCATGGAAGGTGCTTTGGTTGAGCTCAGTTCCAAGCTCGAGCTTTACCTGGCACTGCAGTGGGGATTTGAGGTGCAGGTGGAAATCAGGAGTTCATGCTCTATTCTGTTGTCTCGCAAAGCATGGAGTGAACCCATAAGGCACCCCATTGAAATCACTGGGTATCAGCTCAGATTCTGAAGAGTATTCTTGGGATATTAAGGTGGCCAACTTTTTAAAAAACTTCATGGTTTTGTGTGTGGTTTGTGAAATACGAACTTGTATTATAAATTACAGTTTATTATTCTGTTTCTGAATGCTGACAGATATTGAGAGCATCTCCCAAGATCTGTGCTTTCCACGTAGACTACTTTCAAGAACCACACCGATACTGTATAACAACAAATCAGGATCTTAAATTCAAAGTATAACACTTTGCTGTAGAAAGGTCTTAATTTTTGCAGTGTTACATTATACAGTTCCCGTCTAAATAATGTCCTAATCTTCCACTGTCTGACTTTAAACTACTAATAAATTCATCAGCCAGAGTCTGGTTTTCTGTCCTACAAAATAGGGTAAAGCATCTGAAGAGTAGGAGAGTCCTTTTACTGAAAGAGTTATCATTCCCTATTTAATTCAGACCAGAAGTTCCACTGTTTGTTTATTTATTTACCATAAACTGGCAAAACCTGTCCTCAAAGCCTGCCACATTGTTCTTTTCACAAATGGGGGCCTTCTGGATGGTGAGTGTATAATCAAGAAATGTATGTTTTTGTGAGTAGATGCTTGCTGAGATTTAAAGTCTTTCCTCATAATCTTCATGACTTACTGTTGGCACTTGCACACTTTTATCTGTTGCAAAATTTCTTACTATTCAAAATTTCTTATATAATTCTTATTAATTATTATTTATGTTGATGTTCATAGCTGTGTTGAAACAAGCTTTTTGAGAAGTTGGTTGTATGCTATCATAATCTACACACAAAACATTCTTCTGTGTAACTTAATTTTAGGGGTGGAATAAATGGTACTTGAACTGTTCAGCACATGAAAATATTGTTCTTCTGCTTTCCTGTTGGCGCATTACCTTTTTATAACTGTTGGACATTTTTTGATCTTTTTAATATTGATAGATTCAGTTCTTTGTAATTTTGGAGTTTAAATCTGACCAAGTGTTTCAGGAAGATAAAAAGTAGATTTCAGTGGTGCTGCATGTGGACAAGCGTTTTTAGACCTGTTCTTGCCGGAGCAGTATTTGTAGAGAGCTGTGACAAACGCTCTGGGGACCACTCTGCAGCAGAATTCAATCTTGTTGGCTAGCAACAAATAGGCTCCATTGAAGGCTGTTTATTTGAATGGGAGTTGGATTGGGCCCTTTGGGAGAATGCTATGTTTTCAGAACGGCTTCAGATGCAGATGATTTCAGCGATGAATATAAATGAGGAACAATTAAATCAGAATCACAGAAGAAAAAATGCTTAAGGTAACTCTTCAGTTTTCTAAGAGAGCAGATTGCTGCTGCGTTGTGCGACCCTGGCCTGGCCTTCAAAACTGTCCTCAGTCCTGCTGAAACATTTCCAAATTTCATGGGTGTTGAAAGTTTTTTTAAAGAAAAGAGGGGGAAGATTGAATTAAACAATATTCCTGTTACAAAATCTGCTGCATGCGATATATGTTAAAAATAGGGATCTGTACAAGGTTGCTCACTGCAGATGTGTTAAATTCCTATGCTTGAGTACCTAAAAAGCCTCATTAATACTGAACAGAGAAAGTTCTGTCTTTATTAAGAAGCTATCAGCTTGGAGTTTAATGATTTTCCATGCAACAGAAAACATTACTGAAAATAACTTTTAATTCAGTATTTCAGAAGCTACTTCAGTGCCCAAGTCTTACTTTTTCTTGGCTTTGTGTTAAGTTCTTGAAAGTTTCTTGAGGGTTTAGACTGTTTCCCTGTTTGGCTTTTTCTGGTTGACAGTTTTGCTATCATTTTTAGGATTTCACATTCAGAGGCAGGAAATACTTAAGCCTACAGACTTTCACAGACAGTTTTTTCTACAGGTACTTAAACCAAATGACTGGAAAGCTCTCTTCAAACTCCAGACAAAACTGAAATGCCAAAGAGGAGCAGATGTTTGTCCCACTCCTCCCTGGCAGTTCCATTAAACGCATGGTTATTGGATGCTTTTTTGAAATAAGAGAATGAGAACAAATACAACCCAGACTGTGATTTTTATTTTTATTTTATTTTATTTTTTCAGTTACTTTTATACTGATGGAACTGCCTTGGGAGCAACCTGTCTCTGGCACAGATACTCATTGCTTTATCTTGAAGTAGAAAAGCTGTGCTGTAGTTATTTACCTTTCTTTGTACCTCATGTAGTTATAATCAGGGGATAGGGCTAATGAGGTAAGAAGAGACAGCCTTCATGAATATGGCATTAGGTTGAGAATTAGCTGCAACACCTGCAGTCTTAAACCTGGCTGTGGATAAGTAAACTCTTCCACCTGGCCCTCCACCTGAACTCCCAAGCAGTTCCCCTGAAGAGACCTCGCTTGGGTATATTTAGTATTCATTAAAGTTTTTGCTGTAAAAGCAAATGTTTTTTTCATTGATCTGCCTCCTGAGGCACTATATAAGTTGTCAGTTGACAAGCTCTGTGTTTTCTTTACTGGTATCTGAGTGATTGTTTCCTCCCATTTTTCTCTGGAATGTTGTCAGTGCATGTGGCAGGTTTTTTATTTCTGTTTTTTTTTTTTTTTTTTTCACGCTTTCATTTGGTCTTTCTGGCTGATGGCTGCCAACAAGGATGCTATGAAGAATGTGTGAAGATGTTGAGGCTCTTTTGGGAAAACAGAAAAGTGAGATGACGGTTTAGAAACACTTGGGATTTGGTTGTTTCTTAGAAGTGAATGATTTCTCTGCTATATTTTCCCCTCTCCTGTTTGAAAGATTCATTTTCAGCAAAAATTGGAAATGTATTCATATAGCGCTTAGAGATACGATTCTCCCCCTCCTTATTTTTGGGGACTCTCTCACAGTTACAGTTCCAGGATGACTTAACCCCACTGATAGACATATTTTCTTTCTGTTGCTGTTGACCACACAGTCTTTCTGAGCATATTTGAGACTCTAATCTGCAGCATGAGCATGTACCCTAGGGATTTTCTCTAGAAAATTCCCTTCCTTAATAGTCTCTACTGAGAAAGCCAATTTATAGCCATCTGTGAATCAGTTTGCTGTATCCCCAGCTATACCCCACTCCATAGCATTTTAATAAAATGCAGGCCATAGAAATCATGTTATCTGTGCAACTGATTATGACAGTAACTTTGGAGCTGGTAATTAAACATTGATCCATAATTAATAGCTGGCTACTGATCTTATTTTAACTAGATAACACAGCAGGAGTAGCTATGAAACGAAGAGAAATTAAGATTGACTGTTGTGAAAAATTCCTTAATAGTGGAGTTATGCTGTGCTGTTGAATAGATGCTGTGGAAGTCTCTGCTGCATGAACG